TCCAGTCACACAGAGTGAGTTCCTTTGTAAGGTTCAACAATCAGTTCAGACAAAAGACCTAAGAAGACAGCTCCCTGGGGACCCCTTATCTGCCTTTTTTCAAGGTCAGTATGATCTCTTGGATCCATCAGTTCAGGGCTGAGGTTCACTGGGAAGCTAAAGCACCTGACTGCTAGCAGCCTCCAGGACAAAGCAGGAAGCACATACAGAAAGCTTAAATAAAAGCAAACAGGCTGGACTGCTTTGACAGGGAAAAGAAATCTCTGAAGTACTACTCCTGCACCTGAGGTTTCTGAAAATGCTACTTGAAACTATTTACTTGGGCAAGCATGTGGTTACTTAAGTGAAAGTGACACATCAAAGCCTAATTTTGTCAGTTCTTGGCTTTTTAGTACCTAAAATCCCTGCAATGAACTAATTCTGCAGAAGAATGACTTCTGCAATTCCTCCAATGTTTCACTATGTTAGCATAGCATTAAAATGAATTATTTTCTAGTTTTGGTTTTGATTTTAGGTGTATTCTCCTGTTCCCATGTAAATGTGAGGCAAAACTGTAAAATTTAATGGTTAAGAAAGGCAACACCAGGAAAGCTGGTTTCTCACCTATGTCTTATTGCCTGGAGTTCTATATTAATTATCCCTCTAAAGGGAAAATGGATGTTGAATGGGGAATAAGGCACAGCTGTTGAAGCAGGGTATAAATAGGAAAAGGTTTTAGAAGGAACAAAAGGTGCACTTTGAGCTAGAAAGATGTGTAAGGCAAGGCAGCATTGCTCTTGGATTTAGACTATTGGGATGAATTAACCACTCACATAAAAGACATAAAGACTAACATAACGACTTGGGGTTTTGGGGGGAGTTCTGTTTGTGTTTCCTTGCATTGATAATATAGCACAGGGGAAGAGCCAAATGTGAACTCTCAGTGGGAGTGTCCTTGAGCAGGCAGGGAGGTGGTGAACCAGGATGTTGGGGCACACCACTGGAGAGCCCCACTGTGCAGTCATGGGATTCCTGAGAGCAATTGTGAGAATTGCATCCTGTACGCAAGTTATCTCAGGTGCAATAAATACTAATCTGCCTCCTCTTGTACTATCAGAGCCTGCCTACAGCACTCAGCCTATGTACCTAGCAGTACTGCATGTATAGCAGGTGTGCATTTGCATGCATAATTGATTTCTGATTTCTTACAATGACATCCTTAAAGTCAAGAATAAAAGCACACAGGTTTTGCACAGTGATGAGGCTACTGCCATCCAACAGTGTTTCAGAGGATGTGTTTAGAAGTATGTAGGTAGAAGATAATGAGCTGTCTTTTGGGACATCTTTACCTGCCTTGCATCCATAAAAGGGTTAAATCTCATTATTTCCCATCTAACCATATCTGTGTGTTCAGCCAGACTGGTACTTTGATAATATTCTTGGACAACCCTTCTGACAATGTACTACTCTTGTTTAAGCTTAGTCAGCACCAACCACTTAAAAGTCTGTCTTGGTTTAACTGCACTGAATTAAAACAGCCCTTTGTAGGCAAACCCTGAGAGTTGAGAGCAGTTCAGGCTGTGTTGGTGTCTCTTTAGGCATGATGAAGTAGCACCTGAGGAATTATTTCCTCTTTTCTCCTTTTCATCCTGTGAAAATAGTTTCTGCCTCTCTCTCCTTGTCTCACTAGTCATAACATCTGAATTGGTGCATGAAGAGAGAATTGAAATGTAGGCCAAGCGATTAGACAGAGATGAGCAATGCTTCACTTTATGCTTCCCCAGATATGATGAAAGGAGAGGGGAGGTCTCAGAAATGGTGAAAATGATATATATATATATATATATTTATCATGTAAAGTTGAGGGGAAAAAAATCTTAAGTCTTCAACTAGTCAATGTAAACTGTACCACTGAGGTTCACACTAACTTCTGAAGCAAATGGTCAAACTTCCCAAAAGTGTGAAAGCTGGTATTTTTTTATAGAGGAGTATTTCCCTTTCTCTCTGCCTCTCCAATGGGTGATACTCTATTACCCACCTTAAAGAAAGCTTCCTGTTGTTCCCTGGAATCTAAGTGAAAAATCAATTGCCTACAGTATTAATGAGATCTGATTACGGGCTTTTCCCTGCCAGTTGTTGTTTTACCTCCCTTTTCTGCCAATATTTAACTAGGGATTCCACACGCACAAAAAATCTAATCTATTCCTTGCTTTCATCAGACATAAATGATTGGAGTTCCTGCTTTTATGGCTTTCCTGATAAATACCATTTTAGATTAGACTGCTTGCAATGAGTCACCTTAACTAGGAACAGCTTGGACAGGATTTCAGACTAGCATTATCAGTGCTCATTGATGGTGATGACTGAGGTTATTTGTGCTGCAGTTATATTCTAGAGTCAAGGGGTTCCTACCCTATAGACAAAAAAAAGAGTCTTCTGTGATACTCCTTCGCAGGATATGTGAAGGAGAAGGTTGAGGTTTTTCACGTTTCACAGCAAGTTGTTCCTTTAACCCATAACATAGTAGTACCATGCTGCCTTTCAATTCCAGCTGGGAGCTGCGAATTAAACCCCTTCACTGCCTGGGAGGGAGCTGATCTCCTTAGGGAGCTCCCTAATCACATAAATTATACTGCAGTGTGCAGAGCCTGTTCCCAATTCTGCTGAAATAGTGAACAAGAGCATTTCTAGGAGCCAGTGCTTGTGGCACTTGGAGGAAGACCCCAAGGCTGCAGTCTGTGCACAGGTTAACAACTTCATACCTTGATACAATCCTGGAGCTGTTCCATCTACTTCAGACTTTCATTGATCAGCTGCAGAGGAATTACATTCCTGGCTCTGGAGGTATGAATCTTGCTGCTTGGCCTAAGGTCTGGCATCTATACAGTAAATTATCTCCCACATACAGTATAATATCAGGATGATTTGGGTTATCTATCCCAATATATAAAGTTCCAGACCTTCTATCTCTGGCATTCTCTCCTGCTGAAAGCATAGCATGGTGCCAGTGGATCTATCCAGGTTGACAGGTAAAGGCTTGTGGTACCTGAGCAGGCTCTCAAGCAAAAAAACATGAGTATTTCTGTTCCTGACAAGGCCCACCTCTTCCGAACTTTGTGCATGGAGACAGACCTTTGACTTGAAAATTGCTAAAGCCTGGACGAATAGGAGATGTTAGCACAGATTTGGACTCCCTGGATAAGAGGAAGGAAACATGAAGAGAAACAGGCATGGGGAGAGAAAGGAAGCAAAGGAATTTGTACTGGTACATGAGGATTTGGGGTTGTTTCTTTGCCTAGGTAGGCCAGCTGAAGGAGGACTGCTGTGCGGACTACTCCCAAAGCTGCTCTGGCCAAAAACCTCTCCTGCTATTGCTCCTGAACTGTGAACTGAAAACCCATGGTATGACCAAGACCTTAAGGCTGGGAAAAGATGACTACAGGACTGAAAAAACCCCAATGTGAACATTATTATTCTGGTTTTGTTTGGGACATAGAATTAGTTCTAGGCTGAGATGCTGGTGGTGTATAAGAAGTGAAGCAGAAGGTAAGGAAACAGAGAAAGTGTCCGAACCCAGGGATGCTGCAAGGAGCTGAAGTCTGCAGAGAGACTGCAGCACAGGGCACTAAACTAGGAAGAGCTCACTCTGGGCAGGAATAACAGCATATCCACTTACTTCCAGAGAACAAATCAACATGACGGCGATCATCCATGAATACATGCACTTTTTTCTCCCCCCTCCATGGTTTAAAGGGCCTTTGTGTAACTCTTTAATTTAAACCAGTGAAATTGGAGCAACATAGAATTAGTTTCTCTGGGTCCTGTTCTGTAAGCATCAATTATAATGTCTAATCTACATGAAGTGCTGCTAAGTTTAGTAACCAGCTCTTTATTATGCAGCACCCAATAGCACTCAAATATATTCACATTAAGATGTAAGATCATACAAATGTTAATTGTAGAATCATCCAAATGTTAACAGTTGGTTTTTTTGCCTCCTAAGGCTATAAACAGCTATTTTGATTAGGTTGCTGTGTTCCAGTAAAATACATTTTCAAAGAGAGATTCCTCACTTGGAGCTTTGCTTGACAGTGGGCACAAACCAATGTATTACCAGAAAGCAGAGAAGGCATAAAGGACATGGCACTGGATATTAAGACTTACTTGCTGAAGTTTCACTGGTGGATTTTGACCAGAGGGAGGAGGGATACACTGCTGTGAACACATAAATCATTTATGCTCTCAATTAAAAATTTACTCAACGCCTACAGTTTTTGCCTGAGATATGGCTGGAAAAAATACCCCTGAAAACTGCTGCCATCTCCTCCAAGGTCAGGTATCTTGTCATTTAAAGGAATAGTCAATTTTGTTCTATATTTGACATTTTATTGGCCTCTCGGTTGGGTTTGGAATAAATTGTGTATGCTTTTGACTGCCTTTTCATTTTGCTCCTGCAGTGCAGTGCATTTTTTTTCCTTATAGCAGATTATTTTGCTTTGGGGTTACACTTTTTTGACATCTCTTATCTTCTACTATGTCTTCTTTCTTGTCATTATTGCTTCTTCTGTGTCTTTTCATTCCTCTGCTTGTGCTGCTTTCCTTCTCAAAAAAGTCATCTTTTCTGTCATGGCTCACTTGATACTCTCTTTTCCTCCACTTTAATTTGTGTTCAATTCTCCTGATATTATTCTCATTAAACAACTAGAACAACTAAAGAAAAATAACAAACAGAAAAACCCAAACCCAATACTGGCCAGAAAAAGATGGCACAGGGCCAGAATTAGGACAAGAGACCATCCTAGTTATGGAGGGCAGTAAAAGAAAGGTTAAGCCTGGTAGTAAAACTCTCCCCAGGCTAGAATGAAAAGCAGTTGGATTGGAAATGATGAGCTGTAGCCTGACTCTAGCTGGCTCTTGCCACTCCTAACTGTGAGGTACAGAATGAATTCATTGGTTATCTGGCTGCTGCAAGGAAGAGGGATTTTAATTCTTTTTCTCCACTCTCCCTCATTTCCTGGAAGGCCTCCTGCTTTGGGCAGAGAAGTGCAGGATGTCTGTCTGTCTCTTTGACTACTGACTGCAAGGACCTGAAGTGGGCAGAGCCTTCTCCAGCCCCACAAGCAGCAATTACACAGTGCTTGGAACACCTGTACTGAAGAGAGAGAAAATTTTCCTCAGTTTCTGTCTTTGTGTCTTCTTTTCACTAATGGTGGAGAGGATCCTCTTTGAAGCAGCATCAGATATGAAAAATAATGTCAGCATGAAAAACTAGTATCGGCTTGTCCTTCTGGTTAAGGTAACATTAAGACACCCCATAAGGAACATCCAAGTTGTGGTTTCCTTTTAAAACATTTTTACTATTGCTGGTAGTCAAATATCAATATGATATCGATATTCTTGTGATTTTTATCTAACAAAACAGCAGCACTGAGAAGCAGTCACTGGTATCTCACTTAGGGCTTTGTCCACTGCTTCTGATGCTGGCAGGACTGAAACTGATGTTTTCCACACAGTGTGAACAGGAGTGTGTGAAATGTGCAGGGCTATGTGGAAAAAAAAAAATGATTTTTTTTTTTTGAGATCAAAGCATACTCTGCAAATCTACTTTTTCTTTAAACAGAATCATGCAACATCCATAGACTCTTATCAAGAGAGGAATAATATGGTGCAAGAACTTATGTCAGCAAGGATAAATAATTTAAAGAAAAGGTGTGAACATGGAAGGAATAACCTGATGACTTGAAGCAGTTTTGATCTTGCATGAAGGCAGAGCTGTAATACATAATGTACAGTGAACCTGGGCTGGGTTCATGGCATATTCCAGAGGATATTTTAGAAGGCATTTTATCTCACTACCTCTTGTTTGATGATTTGACCAATAATATTTTCAACAGCTTCTGGGTGGTGAGGCTGCTTCTATCTCTTCCTTTGTACCCTATGTTAAAGACCCTGCCCCTTGCTTACAACTGGGGAGGCAGGAGAAAAATACGTTATAAGAAACCATTGTGCAAAAAGCATTAGGAAGAAGTAACAGGTTGTAACAGTATGGATCATACTTTGGCATAGCCAGAAACCTCGTTCATCATTAGGGAATCACTGACCTTTCGTAGTGGTGAATTCTCCCTGCAGGAGATGGGCCTTCATCTGTTGGTTAAAACTCATGTTGTAACCTAAAAACTTTAACATTAAATAACTGAAATACACTTACAGTACTGGAATGACTGAATCACAAACAAACAAATGAGCAAAGAAAGACTCCAAAGCTTTCCAGATGGCTGTTTCCCACTGATGTACATTTTTTTCTCCGGAGCTTCAAAACATGTTTAAATTATGAAATTTGGTGTGATTACAAGAACTTGGCAAGCAGTCATTAAGGTTTTAGTCTGAGGAGTGTTACTACAGAGTTAGAGAACTGCAGATGAGCAATGGCGGTGTCCTTGTGTGTGCACAGCATTGTCAGCGTGGGTTGTAGGGAATGGGACTATGGCTCCCAGAGTCTGAGTTTTCCATGTGCCACAATCCTGCTGCTTCCCTGGGCCAAATCCATCCTTGAGTTGCTGAAACTGGTGATATTGTACCAGTAACTTATTTGACTTTCTTTGCTCAAAACCGCTTGCTTACCATCTCTTGCACTTCTTCTCCAGCCTTCTGCAAAGCCAGGTGACTTGCTACATCTCCTCTGCTCCTGGCAGGGCTTGGAGAAGCAATGCAGCCAGTGAGTACCTTGGCTTTGCTGCTGCAAATCCCTTTGTGCTGCTGGGGCAGACGTACTGCTCCACAGGCAGAGCCCCTTCCTTTGTCTGGGCCATCAGAATGATGGGGAAGGCTTGTGGTGGGCGGTCTGGAGTGGAAGACAGCAGTAATAACAGGTGGTAGTATGGATAGTGAGGAGTGGAGATTAAGATAAAAGGAAACAAATACTATTTTTTTTACTATGTTTTGAATATATTCTGAGGCTGGAAATGCTGAGTTTTCAGTTCAAGCAATCTCGCACCCTCCATTCAACCTGGGTTCAAGTTGTCAAGCTGGAAAAAGTATTGCACTCCAAGCGCAGGGGAAGCACACCCCACTGGGGCAATGCTGGGGATGAAGATTGGAGATGTGCCTCTCAAGCAGATTCATACCTGAGAGAAGCTGGAATCTTCCTTTGCATCTCAGTTCCTCCTGGCTGCAAGCACAAGAGCCTCTCTCTATCTCCTTCAGGCCCACCCACTGGCAGCTCTTTAGGGTTAGGGAATAAAGTACTGGTACACAGCCCAAGGAGAAAGCCAGAGATTCCCTACTGCATAACTGATTTATTTTTTTTCTGATGTAGCTTGTTGTCCAGGTGACTTGAAGGAAGTCCTTTCTTCACTGGTCTGATGATAGAGACTGCTTCTGTGGCAAGGGCAGGTTGGTTACAGACACCTCCAGATACAGGGTTAAGGGCAGTATTAACACAGAGAAGAGAGCAAAAAAAACATTGGTGGCCATCCAGTAGGAAAGTTACCCCTGGAGATAGCAAGAACATCACACTGTTGTGTGCTGCTACAGAGAGCCAACCCCTGCTCAACACCAGACAACAGACAAATCACTCTTAACTATTGAAGAAGAGGATGTGGCAACTATTCATGTCAGAAGGAGGGAGAAGGTGGATAACTGCAGTTCCCTTGGCAAACCCGGTGCATGTCAGATACCTGCTGGCTGACTATACTCTGTTCATGTCAAAGAGGTCCCTCAAAAGGCACCTCCTGTAATTCCCACCTCACTGGTCTCTAGGAATCACCCTGCCATTGGCATTGCATTGACGTTGCATTCTTGCTGTTTGAGTAAGGAACGTATCCTGCAGTAAGCATGTATATAAGCATTCAAGTGACCAGCCTTCCCTGTACCTACCAAAGTGTGGCTGCTTTGCTGTCTACTCTTCAGATTTATAGCTTTGACAGTTCCTCTGGGGCTCAACCAGCTGCTATCTTATGCATTGGTGGACTCCTGCCATGTGTCACTGCCAGTATATGAATTAAAAACAAATGCTGAAAGTAAGGTGAAGAGATAAATAACTGCACAGCAGGAGATGTGCTTAAGCCCACGCAGTGGATGTGGTGTGACTCCTTTCTAATAACTCACTGTCCATCAGGTCACCATCATACACAACAACCTGCAGATGGCTCAGCAGTGGGTGGCATTAATATACTTGGGCTCCTCTGGCACACAGGTGTCCCATACTGTCCTTCCCACCCTTTCTTTTCACTAGCAGATTTTCCCACCCTTTCTTTTCACCACTTTGTTGCTGACTGTCAGGTGAAGTGAGCAACATGCCCTCACTGTCATAGAGAACATATCTGGCTGGCTCCCAGTGGGCTTGTACTGCTTTGCTTGGTGTGCAGGAAAGATAGGCGACTCTGCCTGATGTCACTGACTTTTTGCAATGGTACTATTGCAGAATTGTGACAAGCAGCAGCAGAATTGAAATATCAAGGCTATTCAGACACTTTGCAGATGTGTCTTTTTGCTTATGAACTACTCTATCCAGAGTCATGGTCTGATTACTCACACTGCTGCTTTCAAGGGACATCTCTGATGTTGAGGCAGTATGGGAAGCCCCTTGGTACTCTGCATGTGCTAGGACTTGCATTGTACAAATGCATGTACAGAATCAGATGACATCTAAATGCTTAACTGCACTTTAGTGAGATCATGACATCATGCAACAGTTTCTCAAGGAACAGTCAAGAAATAAAATAGTCTGAACCCAGGAAGGTATGCCTGTAGAAAGGGTGTACAGGGTAATGCTAAAGTTAAGTTACTTTTCCTAGAAAATCTAAAGGAAAATATAGAGAAGAAGATTCATAAAATGTTTATATATGACTGGGAGGGATCTTCCACTGCAAGAGCTATATCTCATAACCCATGGTAAAAACCTAAAACCCACAAACTGAGGAGTCTCTAGACCTTACTGTTTACATTGAAGGGCTATGGCAAAAACTAATGTTAGAGAGCATCTCTGAATTTCCCACTTAAATTTATGGATGTTGAATTTATCTCTATTATTGTAAGTCAATAACAAGCATGGGTGTTGAATTGATGGGACTGAAAACAGAGGACAGTCAATTGCTAAACTCAAAAATCACATAAGATGATGCATGGGTTGGATTGTTTTGTCTTCTTCTAGGGTTGAAGTTTTTCTTTAGACTGAAAAATTCTTGCTTTTTGCATTAATAATTACAGCTGAGTACTTCTGAGTGAGCACAGATTTGTTACAAATGATTAATAAGATTTCCTATATGATTTGCAGTGAGGAGGTTTTAAGTAGTCTGCTTGCCTTTCTGTGTATCAATTATAATACTGAATAGTGTTCAGCTGTGGTTGTGTTGATATTCCTATGATTTACCTGCAGGCAATGCCAAACCCCTTTCAGCTCGCCTGACAAAAGTCAACTTCATTTGCACCACTGCAGGGACCGACCCAGTAACCAGAGGGGAGGGAGTACAAGCAGGTTTGAGTTCAGCAGGCAACCTTAGTCTTATCAGCAGTGAGTAAATACAGAAAGATTGGAGGTCAAATGCATTCTCTCATACATGTCTGGGGTCAGTGAGGCTTTGCTCTTCTTAAGGCAATAATGAGAAATGATCTTTCAGAAGTGAGAAAGGAGCCCCAGGGCTACCTTGGGCTGTTGCCTCTAGCACATAGTTAAAGTATGGCAGCAACACATGCTGCCCCTATTCAGGTCACAGCAGATGGGAATGGGAATGATGATGAAGGCCAAAGATCCTTGTCTCGCACACACAGAAGCGGACTGGCTCCTTGTCTGAAAGCCTTAATAGTACTGTGATATTTTGATACTGATGCTGGGGTTTTTTTTGGGAAGGTAGAGATACTGGTGCCTTAAAAGATCCAAAAAGTATTGTTCAATGCTAAATTTAATTTCTTGTCATTAAACTGGGCAAAGAAACTCAACCCCTTTCTTCCCACGTCCAAAGGAAAACCACAATCTTATTAGCAGCATGATCCTGAAAGCTGTTTTCCTCCCTGCTGCATTATCCAGCTTCTGGAGGAACCCTTCACCAGCCCCATGCTTCGGCCCTGCTACATTCAGAAGACCTGGAGCACAAGCCTGATATCCCAATACAACATGGAGACTATTTAGTATCCTGAGTTGATTTACCATCACATTTTTGAGTAGTAATATTCTTTTTAATAAGAAAGACCTCAAAAATAATAATTGCAATGTCTGTCACTAATATTATATTGTAGGCAGAGGAAAAACACTGCCTTTGTTCCCACTCATTCCTATTATGTGCGGTTTTGCATGTGTTGCTTCCTAAAAAGCCTATGAAGAACCTATCATTCTTTCTGAAAGATTACCATAGATAATTTTATTTTATAATGAATCAAGGATTTGATACCGGAAGAAATTTTGCTTGTCAAGAGAGCTGCTGTTTAATAACTTTGTAATAAGCTTTTTTAAATCAAAGCATTTGATGGGATACAGCTCTGCAACACAAAAGATATCACGGCTGATACAAATGATTGGGACCAGGAATCATCTGGAACATGATGGTATTTACAGGTGTGGAAAATAAACCATCTTGTGAAAATAAACTACTAAAACCAAAATAAAGCTTCAAGAAGAAAATCTCTTTCATTTTGTTGTGTCCTGCTTAACCAAAATATTTGTGTAGCTGAGCATTTTGCAAGGGAGAGCTGGTAGAGACATCTACAGTTAAAACTGCCAAGACTTTCAGTATTTTGCCAAAATTTTAACTACCAGACTGAAATATTCCACGCTTGCTGTCTGCCTCAAGCTGCAACAAAACGGTTCAGCAATGTTCACAAAAATAGTTACGAAAAAATAAAAGCACTCTTAATGAAACTTATTTGTCCCAGCCATCTTTTTGGAAGTAGATGTGAAATCAATGGATGTCTGTTTCAGTCTGCAATTTGCTTCTTGAGTGACCGCTGGATTGCTTTTCGTATTAGAGACGCCTGGATTTGGCTGCAATGTAAGACTTGGAAAATCACTAATATAAGTGCTATTGACTTTACTGAGACCAGTATTTTATCCATCAATATCAACTGCAGTACCGTTACTGGCAGATGATAACACATCGAGTAGAGCCTTTTGGCATTAGAAGCAGCGGTGAAGTCCTCCCTGGGGAGCGTGCACATGAAAAGCCATGTAGCTACGTGCACTGTAGGTACTGTATACAGCACTGAGCCCTGGTTAATAACCCATATCATGAGGAATATTATCTTGAGCATCATCCTAATGCAGTTTCCAGTAAGCTCTGAGCACAGGCAGAGCAACCTGCCCCAAAAGCCTATGCTGATGCACTACCTCTGGCATAGGAAACTGTTCTTGCGCAGTTTGCAGGATGACAGCAGATAAGGATTGAAAAAGATGAGAAGTGGCCTCTTAAGCTTGCACATGTTAAAGACTGTGACCGAGAAAAAATGTCTTTCATTGCAAGCTCTAAAATCACTTGTGTCACAGTGCCATAGTATCTATGTACAAGAAGACTAAAATAAAAGCTGCAATATTTGATCAGATATTTTATGACAGTACTTGATTACGTATATGAAGCTTTCTTTAGTATTCCACATCAACATATTTAACTAGGAGCATCCAGGCTTAAAAGTAAGGAGATTAATGGTCCGACAAAGAGGTGGTATAGATCAGATGCTGGATCAACATGGGCTGTATCAGAGATTGTCTGACAGTGAGCTAATGGTACAGACCCACAGCTTCAACATTCTCAGCGAATTTTGCATCTTCAGACTTCAAATACTGAGTTTCTACACCTAGTGCATACTTTCAATCACTACATGTGCTGAAGTTCAAGGAGAATTTTGCCTGAGACAACCTGGATATAAAACACTGAGAATAAACTCCTTTGTGTGGATATTCTGAGACACAGTGGGATTGCGGTTGTAAAATGTCCTGCATCCTTGTATTAGATAAGAAATAAAAGCAAAAGTTCATGATACTTTACCAAACTTCCAATGTCTCTAGAAAAAAAAAATCATTTTTAATTAGAATATGCTGCAGATTGAGTTGTCTGAAGGCAGCTATAGTTTTCTGCTGACATGATCAGGTGATATGGAGCTCTACCTGTACCAGAGGCAACCATTTCAAATATACCAGGTTTCATCTGATCACTTCAGAGGTTAGGATTTTTCTGCTGTGTTTCCTGGGGCATTTTGTTTTCCACTGACATGAATTGTTGGCACTGTTCATCTTTTCCTATGTCTTTAAAAGTCACAAGGGTGAAATCATTAGCATACTTTTATAC